ACTGCGCATCGCCGTATAATTGTCCTACCAATGATCGTGTTTGCGTATGGTTTTTCAACGAATTTGTGATATTAAGTTGCGTATATCTACAACAGTACACGTCCCCGCGTACTATCGTCGTTCCTCAAAGACTGCGAGCACCGAGCGCCGATGACCCAAGCAAAAGTCTTAAAAGATGCCCGAAGAATATTCACGAAAGCTGCGATATTTCTTAGGGATTTGTTTCGCACGCTACACACATTTGCGATAATAGCTTTTTGTAGCGCAACATTGTGGCGACAATACTCATCACAACGCGACAGTTATCCAATAAATTGGATCTCTTAAGCCGTACTAAATTATCAAGCAGCTTACGGGAAGCTCACGGAATTTTCAACGGTAGAAATAAATTTCTTTTTCGAATTACAACGAATGTCCGACGTAATTTGACCAACGCGTTATGGGACAGCAATAATCCTACCTCGAGCAATAAGTTCGGTAGCAATAGATGCGCTGTTGTTCTGAGATCTTTAATTGTCCATTGTTTTGAACTTACATAGTGTGTTTACTGTTTAATTTCATATTTAATTTAATTGAACTATGTTTGATTAAGAAAAATGTCTGATATAGAAAGAAAAAATACGCATCTTTCTTCAAAATTAAAAAAAAAAATTTATTTCAGAATCTCTCTCAAGGAAGTAGCGTATATATTCGAGAAACAGAGTTTTGTTTATATTTCATAAAAATCTGGTTGATTTTAAGGCTACATTTCGTGGCCGTACAGGTAAGAACTTTATCTTTAAAAAATCATACTTTCTCGGTGCCCGCACGTCCAGTTCATCGAATCCTGTCGTTCATCCTAGGTCCCTTAGTTTCTCCAGACATTCCCATCATCGACTCTATCCCGTCAAGTAGATTCTAAGCAGAGACAGTATTTGAATGGGGTTATTGGAGGACGAAAGAATTATCGTTAAGTAACTGTATTGAGTAGCGCGCGAGCGCGCGTCGCGTGTGTGCAGTGGCAAAAAAAAAAAAAAAATAAAACAGACAGGCAGCCTAATTATGCGAGTATACACGTCGATGGGGGTGCGATCGATCGTTCATTTATTTTAAGCGTAAAAAATATCGTCTCTCTAATTTAAGTACAATTAAAACATTTATTTTTATTATTTTTAAGATAATGGGGTTCGATTAACTTGTTCACGGAAAAATTTTCCTATCGTTAAATATCATAAATTAAAAATTATGTGAAATTGAATTCAACTACTGTATACTTGAATTGACGTATTGATCAAGTTTGCACTCTTGATTATATAGACTTGATAAAAAAATCCGTCGATCGCGTACATCGACGAAGCTCGAAGACTCTTCCATTCGCTCGACCCGTGCACCTCGATCGTTTTAGAAGCTTTGAGAAGCGATACACGTATATGCGTTTAAAACGCGTTGACTGGAAAATGTATAACAGAAGCGAAACCTAAAGTTGAAAGACTGCAGAGATTGAAACCGATATCTTGAACCGATATCTTACATAAAGCTTGGAAAAGTATTTAAGATATTTAAAACAGATATCTAAAACAGACTTGAAAGATCAATATTTCTTTTAAATATCTCGCGATTCTTTTAAAATTTCCTTACATCTTTTAAATAATCTGCTTGAGTATATTTTTAATAAACTTATACTCCGATAGACATAAAAATAATCTGTTCAAATTAATTTAACAAACTTAGACAAGATTACTATTTACAAAAACAAAATGTTTTTTTTTTTTATAGTGACAATGTTAAAAATCTCATTATGTAATTACATCGGTTTCAATATTTGCATGAAATCTAAAACGTTAATGAGCAAATCGGAAAACGGTCCACGAAACTATCGCTCAAAACGAAAGAAAATGCTCACGGATGATTTCATTTGCGATTGACTGACTTTAATTGTACTTATATTTAAATATTTACGAAAAGACACGCGAATTACGAAACTCGAAGAATGTTCGGACAGGTAAACAATTTAAATGGAAAAAAGAACACACGACTGTTCGAACAAAAAAAAATTAAAGTAACGATACGTTCCTTAAATCCATTCCAATGCAATTTTATAATGTTTTTAATATTAAAAAATTCGGCTCAAAGTCATTCGTCGTCGTTAAATTAGATTAGTCTATACGCTTGCTTAGTTCGTGCATGTTAATTCCAAAAATTGGCGTTCTAATCGAAGGCAAATAAGTTCGAATATTCCATTTGTAAAACGGGGATTTACCATCTAAGTACGTACTTACGCAATCTTTTAAAAAAGATCTCATTTTACAGTACATTTTATCGCAACTGGAGATCGCTCTTCGATATATCTCCGGCAGAATAAAAATATGCTCATCCCTCCCCTACATATCCCTCTCCAACTTTTTCTGAGCACTGCCTAATCGTGCACAAAAGTACACTTTATAAGCGGGGTACTATAGGGCCGAGCGCGAGCAAACTCGTACATAATTAATACAACTGAATTCTATTCATTTCAAATAAAGAGATAAAAGACAGAAAAAAAGGACGAAGAGAGAAAACGACAAAGCTCACTTCACTTTGCGTCTTAAGAAAGACAATAAAGAACACCTCTCGTTTTCGACAAGCCAGCTTTTTCTTATTAGCACTGACTCTATAAACAACTAGTTTTACTTATTGTAAAAGATCAGTGTTTTTAAGTATTACGTAGATTATTAAATAATACGTAGATTAAATTAAAACTATACAATTTATTAAAATTAAACAAAAAGTATATAATATTAAAGTCTACTTTTCCTGCTCATTATACGTACAAAAAAATACAGAATGTATATTTGAAAACAATACTCTCGATATATATAGAAGAAATCGAGTAAAAATTTTCTTATTAGAAAATATATTGCGATGCAAAAGAATAAAAAGAGTCAAGACGCGAATCTTAAAAAATTATCTACTTTCGCAATTTAGAGAAATTTAATAAATTTAAAAGAGGTGTTCTTTTTAATGTCGTGGATCAATATTCTTTCGCAGCAAAATACAGTTAACGATCGTAGAATAAGATGGATTTATTATAAAGACGACTTTATCTGTCGGTCGACGGAAAGAAAGATCACTGTAAGATATACATATTATTACATAATGTAACGCTGCCACTGAACACATCCCGTTAGTACAATTACCGTATATATAATAATAATAATACTAATAATCCGCAGTATACTGGGACACACCGTATTATTAATTGAATTGATATTTATTAACGATTATAATTATTATATTATTACCACTATATTATCTATACCATTTGTACTTTACACTTCAGTTCGAACGAAATAAATGCCTTCTTTTTCATAAAACCGTCGATTAGATGACAAAGGCGTATGTTTCATTTCTTAATTAAATTATATTCTGGATCCTATACATCAATCATTTGTCAAAACACCAACGAAAAAATATTCAAATTTTTTACAAGTAATCATAAACAGAATCTGAAATAAGTCTAATTCCTTCTAATCACAAATTTTTGATCTTCAGCACGTTTAAAATGCTATCTTCGGCGATTGTCCGCGCGATTCTTGCTACGGCTGTTTCTACGTTTGATGTAACGATATCTATCTTCCTTGTTTTTCTTAACTTCTGAAAACTCGCTCCACATACGTTGCCAAAATTTAGTACCCATATGCAACAGGAAATACATTACTCCATTATCCCTGAATTTTCGATTAAGTTACAATAAATAAAATTTGTATCAGCTTCATTTAGTCATTTTTTAAATAAATAATTTGTATTTTACTATTATTACAAAAATATATCAGTAATAAGACGTAATAATTATAAACTCACGTTAGATCTTTGAAATTGACAGCTCTTGTAACGTGAAGAGTAATCAGAAAAACCATTGTTGCTATTCCATTTATGAGAATTGTCGTGAATAATTTAATCGTACCAAATACTGAAAACATTTCAGCTACATTTCCCAATTTTAATCGATTGAGTATCTGCTCGCATTAGTTTTCAGTAAGTATTAAATGTCAACATAATTTTAATATATAATAATTTAAATGTTTACATTAATTTCCAGTAAATATAAATATATTGACATAAAATAGTTATTTATTAAAATGATTTGAATATGCTATTATAATATTAAAATTAAAATAGATTAATTAATAAATTATTGCGTTACAGGACAAATTTTCTTTGGCAGTGTGCTTAAGATGACTACGTCTATTGGCGTCCATATGCATGCAATTGCAAATTCTAGGAAGAATGCGGTTACTAAAAACTGCAACCAAAAATAAAGAGGAAAAAAGAGAAAAGATAATAGAAAAATACAAAAGAAAAAAAGCTGTTAGTTTTCAAATAATAAACTATACAGCTATACACTAACCTCATATAAACACATAAAAATAGGTTTCGGTTCTCGGAAAGATTTTGGAAATAATGTGGAATTGACGATGATAATGTAGACACTTGTAGCAATTAAAAAAGAAGTAGTTGATGGACTTGATATCAGAGGATAACCAAATTCGTCTTCCAAAGCGTTAGCGAAACATGTTTGAAAAATTGGTATTTTTAAACTGTTGAGCACTAATGCCCATATCGTACATGATAATCGTGTCATTTTTGATAGCAATACTGAATAATCGCAATTTAGCCATTCAGATTTGATTCATAGATTATCGCCAATTATGAAAAAAGAGAAAAAGCTTGACATTTACAATGAAGTTAGTTTAATAACATTTAATAATTTCTAGTTTATAAGATTAAACATGAACAGTTTTTTAAAATAACTTTATCAAAATGTAAGTTTGTGTTTAATATGTAGATATATTTGTCCAAAAAAACATTGATATAATGCGATAGATTTACGAAATAATAAACTCATGAAACAATACTTTAAATTCGCAGTATAATTTTTTAATAAATTTCATTTCTTTACAAAGTTAAATCAGTAAAATAAAAAAAATTTATATTTTTGTAAATATTTATATAATGCAACGCGGATGATTAACGCAATAATAATTTTATAAAATATTACTAGATATTTATTAAACATAAGGACATATACAGTCAAAATATAGCAGATTACAAAAAATTATGATTTCTAAAATTTGTGGTAAAAGGACGCATCTGACAGAACTTATAAAAGAATGATTGAGTCACTTCAGGATTGCTGAAAGTAACCTTTTTGCGTTTGGGATGTCTTGCATTCGTGAATAGTACACGTCTTGTGAAAAGCAAAAAAGGAATTATTGTTAGATTATAATTAAGTTATATTGTTAGAATATAATTGAAGATTATATTAATTATGATTTTATGTAAGGACATTAAATTAAAATACTTCAACATTTAACAAACATTTCGAAGTTCATAACTATAATATTTAAAAAATAAAAATCATTTAAATAAAATAAAATATTCTGTGATGTGTGTGTGTGTGTGAAGGATTACAATAAAATAAATTCATATCATAAAGATTTACATTTTGTTGAATTTAACGAAATTAAATTTGAAATTTCTCTATATTAGGGACTGTATATATTTACGAGTTGATAAACTGCTTTGTAATTTTATTACATGACGGACAATTTTGTGGATAAAATTTGAAGTTTTCAGAATTCACTACTTGCTCCATGTATCCAAAAACGCGTCCAGTGATTCGGTGGCGTCTAGCATCCACACAAACGACAATAATGACATGCAAAATGCCATGTACGTGGCTGCATAATCTCTAGCCATGTAATCCGCAAAGAAAGTTAACCAAGAATAGCCCATATTACTATTCAACCATAACAACTAAAATATAACGAGAATGTTTCAAAATTCAAAACTTTTATCTACCGAAAATTCCGTTTCTCGCATGGCAAAAATTTCATATAATTTTATGAACAAAATTTATCAGTAATAATTTTTCACTTTTAAAAAAACCTGAGTTAAAAAATTAAACAAAATAAAATGAATTAAAAATATAATAATAGCGCATTATATTTTCATTCAGTAAATGCTATATATACATACCCACTTACTAGATTCTTGAGTGAGACAGAAAATTGCATGCATCATTGGTATCCATATCATTTGGATTGCTAAATTTGTGCTCAATGCAGCTATTAACATCTACACAGTAAAATCAATTACGAATCAATAGTAATGTTCAATTTGATATTACCCATATCAATTATTAAAAAAATTAAAATAAAAAAAATTCTTATTCAATAATTATCTTAATTCAATAACTTTATGCATCTGTATTACTTAGCCGAAAAGATATTATATGAAAATATTATATTAAAATCGATTTAAAAAAAATCTGTAAATAATGACTTCAAAACTCACTTCGTAAATGTATAATAGCTGGATTGGTGGTTCTTTAAGAGTTATAGGCCATAATCTGTATTCTGCTAATAAGCACAAAACTGAGAACACAAATAATACTGACGCATATGACGGATCAAAAGGCAAAGCGTTCTCCTCCTCAAAACAGAGACCAATTATGCAGATTTGTCGCAAATGAGTATATAAACCAGTTGCTACTACGGTAATCCAGTGAGGATCTATAAAATTCGCATAGTATTTCACAGTTTCCATCTTACGCTAACACACAACAATCTTTTTCAAGAAAGCCTTCTAAAAAAATTTCGTTTGCGTGCTCTTGTTCCGTAATGATTTTCTTCACTACGATTTCAGATCAAAATCGTAAGATTGATCAACTAAACCTAAAAAAAATACTTTTAAGAGAAATATATTTAAATAATTAAAAAGCCTGTTTTAAAAAAAATTAATTTCCATTTTTACTTCAAAATTTCTATATTTAATTAATTTGCTTATTGTAGTCCAATTTACTTATTGTAGTCCATTATAAAAGAAAGAAATATTCTAACATGCATTAATTAATATCAAATAAGTGAACAAGATAAACGGTATCATTACAGATTGTCTTTCAAGATATTAGATGTTATAATTTGTCTCACATTACTGAATTATTTTATTATAACAAACCTCGCATCGTGAGAACAGTGTTGTAAAAAAAAACTGCATGACTTTACAAAGTTATGCAGTTTTTGATAAGATTAAATGCGGCGATTTTTGATTAATATTTCATTTTTAACATCAGTGACATGCATGAATATTTGATATATTATATCTTCGCTGATTTTTTTCATCAGCACTAAATGTCAATACAGAGTATTCTCGCTCAAACTCTTAATTTATAATTGCACTATTATCTCAATGTCCACACAATCGAATGCTTAGGTTATAAAATTATCCAGTTACGCTGCAAACATCAAGACATTCATGCATCTGTTTCGCAGAAAATTTAATTTTTTACAAAAATTTTTTAATATTTTTAAATTAATAATTAATAATTAAATTAAA